AAGGTAAATGTCCATTGGTAGGGACAAGCGATATCCAAACGATGGCCACTTGGGGATTTTCGCTTCGACAAAGAGGCGAAGCGAACGCCGCTTAAAGTTTCTCGAGCCCCGGATGTTACCAGCTTCTCCGGCTTTTGGCTTAAGTGCCAACGGGCATTTTGCGCACCTTCCGAGGAGACTGTCAAACTGGAGGTTGCAGGGATTAGGAACAAAATCCCGACTCGAATGCCGCTGAGACAGGCCAAATGTTATAAATTGCTCTGAGCGGAATTATAGAAGTCCCTCACAACATAAGAGGCCCTTTTTTCAGCCAGCATCAATCCCCCAAACACCTAAGTCAAAGGTGTGCGGACCCTGGCACATAAGATTGCGTATAAGATTCAACTGGGGTTGTGTGGTGTTAGTCAAAGGGATCTGATGACGATGGCACCTACTGTACAGCATCGCCGCCAATCAATGCCAAGGGGCAGCTGACGAATGCCTGCAAATGCAGGGTGTGAATGTTCGGTTTTAGGGGGTGTCCACGGAAAAACAAAGTGTAAACCACGTATTGTTTATGGGCGTGGCCTACATTGAAACACACACTGCCCGTGCGTGAAATATAGAGCCCGTGTTGGCAATTGCTTGAAACCCACAAAAGACTGGCTTCTTTCAATTCACCAAGTCGCAGTAGGGAACCAACTGTACCTGCTGCGCCCTCGTGGTCCAGGGCCCGTGCCAATATCAACTTGACAAGTAGCACTCAGCCCAAACCCTGTACAATTTGAAACTGGGAATGCAGGCGGGTTGCCGTTGAAATCCCCGTGCACGTGCATACTTTGGCTGGACTGCAAACCGCCCGTGGCCAAGAATATTGCGTGCTCACGCGTCGGAAATGCAGTTGGTTGGCTGACTTTACGGGAAACCTGCAGCAAAAGGAGCTCCCAGACTGGAAGCAAGTGCAAAGGCTCAAGCAAAATGGCTTGCACATAGTTTAGCGGGAGGATACAAGTTTGATCCAGGACAAACTGCAAAGGGAAATCGGATGCTTTCCACTTGGCTGCTGGAGCTTCGTGAGGCATAGCCAAGCGCTGTGGGCCATTCCAAGCGTGCTTGTGGGTGCTGTTGGGCCGGAGGACGTTCCCACTTCATTTCCTTGCAGTTGGAAGGGAGAGGGCAATAATGGCTCAGATTTTCGCTGAAACTTACCTAAAGCAACTGTGCAATCTGCATTCACCCTCATGTGATATGAGAACCTCCCGAAGTTCCATCTACCACAAGTAGCCAGGGATCTCATTCGACTTGAAAAAGGCTGCCTCGAACTTCCCCCTTTTAGAGTGGTAAATGGAGCCAATGGGTCTCTGGGACTGTCAGACTTGAACGAGGATGGCTCCAAGTTGAGAGTGGTAATGGGGCCATCCCTGCGACACACATTTTCGGATCACCGTGGCAAACATTTGCCTGTCGCGTTCCAGGCCTAGAAGGACATCCTCCTGGCGCACCTCCATTGGGGTGGTAAGCTCCTCAGGGCGAACGGAGCAGCGAGAAATCAAATGAGCCACGGACCTGCTGCATGCCTTGAAATAATCAAATTGAAAACCTGAATGAAGCATTGAAAACCCAAGACAAGTTAACAACTTTCATTCTTAGGTGAGCTCATTTTGCCTCCAGGTGCGCGACTCTAAACTTTTGGAGACGCACACCTGGAGGTCAAACTTGCTGCTTCCACGTGAACTTATGCTTTGCTTACGCAATCCATATTTTAGCTTACGTGACAAAAAACAAAGATGACATGCTTAAGAGACGCACGAGTGTCTTGAGCGCTTCCCACAACAAAGGAGAAACCAACGAAACATTTCTCTCAAGCGGGTCAACTTGGCGTGGTATCTTTGCTTTGTAGCCTGATTGCTCAACGCCTTGGATTTTGATGAATGATTTCCTCAAGAATGAATTTGCCTCCACTGCAGAACAACAAACAGCGTGTGTGGCATTGATGGCGTGGGCGAGCAGGCAGCCATTACCCACCTGCTTCCGCCAACTTGCGTGCCTGGACCCTCTTAGTGGTTTTTGGAATCTGCTGTGTGACGACCCGTTTGTCTTGGGAAGGCTTTCAGCATCACACCTGCGACCCAGTCCCTGTCGAACTCAGCAGGTCGCGGCTCTTTCGGCGCCAAGCTGAATCAATAGCTGGCGTTCAACAACTTCAGCGGCCACGAAGCAGATCTTCCGCGCGCATACGCAGCATGCCGCAGAAAGCGCTTGCGCTCGCGTGTGCCACTCTTGGGTTTGCTTTCGCGGGGCCTGCGCATGACACAACTCTTGATTCACACGTAAAGGCACGCTTGAAGAGCTGCGCGGGTGAGCTCGCCACAAAACTGGCACATGAATCGTTCAGAATAATCAAACACCAGTTGGCATGAATGAAGCCTATGAATACTGGGACCATCCACAAGCAGAAAGACTTCAGAATAGGTGATCTCGTTTTACCCCCATAGTTTTACCCCCAGGTGACCCCGCTTTCATTTGCGCAGATTGACGAACTCAAATGGGCGGAGTGCATAAGCAAGTGCAAGCAACAAACGACTGTAAATACAGACATGTTCCAGTCAGGAGAAACAAACTCAAATGATGGCGGGGGAAAAATGCATTGTACGGCAGAATGGGTGCCGAGCTTGTCCAACATTCACCAGCGGCAAGGGCTCACCCCACAGGCTAGGGGCTAGGGAGGCCCCGCATGTTCGAGGTCAACTTCGATCAATGCAGAAGGCAGCCCTTCCCTGATTGACCCGTACGTTTAGTTCAAGAGGGACATGCTGCAGATTCGTGAGGCCAAGTAAGCCTGGTTGCTTGAGATGCTTAACTCATCATCCTTGCTTAAGTTGTTCATTTATCCTGCCTGTCGCATAGACCAACTCTCGACATAATGTTCATATTGTCTCCCATGAGGCACACACACGAACACAATATGTATCAATCAAGACACACACGCGCACACACACACACACGCACACACACACACACAAATACACACAGAGAAAAACCTAGAAGCACACAAACACCCATACAAAGACCACAGAAGCAAGCATGCAAGCAAGCACGCACGCACGCAAGCAAACGGACAAACAAACAAACAAACAAACAAACAAGCAAACAAGCAAACAACCAAACAAACAAACAAACAAACAAACAAACCAACAAACAAAGAAACAACACAAACAACACAAACCAACAAGAAAGCAACCAAGCCACCAAGCAAGCAAGTAACCAAGCAAGCAAGCAAGCAAGCGAGCGAGCGAGCGAGCGAGCAAGCAAGCAAGCAATCATTGCAAGCACGCAAGCAAACCATCACAAGAACAAATTCACAAACAAACACAAATCCAATCAATAAACAAACCAACAAACAAACCAACAAACAAAACAAACAAGCAAGCAAGCAACACAACAAACAAACAAACAAACACACAATCAAACAATCAAACATATAATGTAAGCAAAGCAACAAACCAACAACAAGCAGACCACGCGTGCTTGCACGCGCGCACGCACCCACACGTGATGATCACCACAGTACAGTCTACGTGTTTGGTTTGCCACACACGCACACCCGGGCATACAACACTTACACACACACACACTCACACACACACAAGCACGCAGACACACACACACACACAAACACGCACAGCCACATACACATACACATACACATACACATACACATACACAGACACTGACACAGACACAGACACAGACACAGACACACACACACACAGACACACAGACACACACACACACACACAAAAAAAAAAAAAACACGCACGCACGCACGCACGCACGCACGCACATACGCACGCACGCACGCACGCACGCACGCACGCAGGCACGCACGCACGCACGCACGCACGCACGCACGCACGAACGCGCACGCACGCACGCACGCACGCACGCACGCACGTACGCACGCACGCACGCACGCACGCATGCGCACGCGCACGCACGCGCACGCGCACACGCACGCACGCACGCACGCACGCACGCACGCACGCACGCACGCACGCGCGCACGCGCACGGGCACGGGCACGGGCACGCGCACACGCACACGCACACACGCGCACGCGCACGGGCACGCGCACGCGCACACGCACACGCACACACGCACACACGCACGCGCACACGAGCATGCGAGCGTGCGTGCGTGCGTGTGTGCGCGCTCGCAATCGAGCGCGCTCTTGCGTGCACGAACGCACTCACTTATCACGCACCCATGGACCTCAAAGTCGGAAAGCGCGCAGTTCAAACCGCAACATCCTAGAACACCATCGACTTTGACAGCCTAGTACTGCGGTTGGCCGCGGTATGCTCCAATACGTCTGTAAACCACTCTTGATCAAATATCACGTTGGAGTCTCTTCCGGGTTCCAATTTGGCCCACTTTGCGCTGCGCCTCCGGCCTCTTGCGCGCACTGCAGTCCCTGACTCCCCGACTTGCCCACTCCACTTCCTCAATTTCCCAACCAAACCGTTTTTGCCCTTACCCCCGCACATCTCGAGCCCTCTTCTGCCCGGTCTGGTCGCCAAGGGGCAAACCACTTGATAGATTCCACGATCGTTCCCTCTGCCTGTTCCAGCGTCATCTTCGGCACCTCCGATGCAAGGAAACAGGGCAAAAGGCCTGCGCGAAGAACTTGCGCTGTCCTCCAAAAACAATGTCAACCATTTGGAGGCGCCCATCACAAGACGCACACCTACATGAAACTTGAAAGCTCGACAGTGTCACTCTTTCACGGGCCCCTGCCGTTCCTCGGCCATTTCAGTCTGGCGCCTTCTGCAGCAGAATCTCTGCGGTCACCATTACATCGCTCTCTTCCACGTTGTGTATGTTGATAGTGCGGCGGGACCTGAATGTGACAATAGCAAGTCGGCAGATCGACCAAACAAACCCCTTCGGCAACCGTGACAATAGCACGCGCACACAACAAATCCAGGGCGAGGGCAAGGACAATTAGGAAACAAAAAGGATTGGGATGTCGAGGACAAAACGGAGGACACAAGGTGCCATGCAATTCACCACCACTCCTACAGCACCCACCAGCACCCACCAGCACCACCATCAGCAGCACAACCACAGCATCACCTCAGCACCATCAATCCCGACCCCTAAAGCCGCCCCATAAGCCAACGTGGTGGGACACCCCGATATTCATCGACAAGGGGAGTAATCCCGGCTTGACATTTGTCTGCGCATGTCTGTGCAAAGCACTCTTTCCGCAGGCTTGACAGCCAACCACACTCTGCGGCGCCGCGCCCACGGACTGTCACGAAAGGCCGCCGCGACTGGGCAGCAGGACGCCGATGGAATCTGACCCACGCAGAGGCCAGAGATGACGGCGTGCCACATGAGGCTTCAAAAGGTGGTCAACGCAGAATGGGGAACTGAAGTGCACAGCAGTGCGTTTCAGAGTGCGTGTTCAGAGTGCAGTGGTCTTGCGCTGGGCAGGGAGACCATTGATCTTCAAGCAAGGATCTGTTTTGCAACCAGGCTGCTGTTGCTTTTGCGTGGACGGCCCGCGGCTGGCTTGTGCAGATGATGGAGCTTCTGCTGGCTTGAGCAGATGATAGAGCTGTTTGCCCTACTTGGACAATACTTCTGGATTGAAGCCCTGGGATTCGTCAGCTGATGAGCCGACTGCGCTCGCTCTATGATCTTGCAAAGCTTAGTTTGAGCACTTTTTGGGAATTGCGTCCGTTTGTAGGCGATTTCGACCAGATTTGCGCTCGATGTGCGGCATTGTTGGGTCACGATTTGCACTCAGGCAACAACTGGTCAGAGCCCAAGTCAAGCCTTGCTTCCGATTTCTTTTCCAGCGCTGGCTCCAGTTCTTAACCGAGAGCCACAGGCCCCCAAAATGCTTCACAGGTAAAGAAACTCAGTGGTGTTTATGAAATGCGGTCGTTTCTCAGAAAAGTGCTCGATTGTGACAACTAGGGAATCCAACCAGCCAGGCCCATGCAATGCGCAGGTGACCCAGAATGGACCCAGACTGTGAAGAAGATTGCCGCCAAAGCCGATCCACAGCCAACTGCATGGCCTGCAGCATACCAGATCGAAAGGTGTCCATGAGGCCAACCATCCAACAACTCAGGAGCAAAACAAATGCTAACACCCCACACACCCCAAGTCTCGATGAGCTCCACGCAGGGCTCAACTCCACGGATGTAGGCCCATGTGTCCAACACACCCACTTGCATGTGCGTCCATCCTCCACACCAAGGTCCGCGTCCGGGCCTCCGGTCCCATTGCAAAAGACAAGCCCCGGCCCTATCTGCCGACCCCACTACGCCTCTGGGACGCTAAAACCACGCAGTTCAATTTGCAAACCGGACATGAGGAATCCCCGAGTAAAGAACCTCTATGGGTGATTCGCTCGCTTTGCTCTCGGATCGGTGAGTAATTTGCGCAGATTACTTAGTGGTCCGAGCTTGTGCTCAAAGTTCAGCTTTTGGTGGAGTGTCACAAATCCAACTCTAAGCCCGAAAAACCCCGCGCTTGGCCAACCCACTTGGGTGTGTTTACAAGTTATAACCATCTGGGCTAGAGGTGGGAACCGCCAAGACTCCGGTCTGAGGTCCTCGCTCCAAGGTGACCGGGCTCATTGACTTTGGGTTGTTGGCCTCGATCTCTGCCTCCGCTGCCTTCGGGGACCGAGCTATTCCCTGTGGCTGGGTCGTGTTTTGAGGTCGCCGTTTTTGGATGGCGCTGAACCTGATAAAACTGGGCCAGCTACTTTCACCCAACTCTACACAAAAAGGGGACCTGTGCACAAGGCGCTCCAAATAGACAGCTTTGGCAAATAATTTAAAGTCCACGTGCTGAAACAAATGGGACCTGTCGATTTGTGGATTGTGTCTGGGACATCACTTGGATTGAACATGGCAAATCAGCCATGATTGTCTCATTCAGGGGGATCAAGCCCGTTGCAACAACCAATGCAGAGGGACATGTGCCGCCTACCTAAATTCGCTTGACTTGGGGCTGCATTTCGACGAAATTCATAGGAAAGGGTCAGGCACGTGGGGGCAGGCAGCAAATGACCTTGGTCCAGGTGTGCAGTTCTTGCTGTCACACCGTCACTGCACCAATCAGCCTTGATTTCAGCAAGCTGCGCGCGCGATCATGGACGACATAACACTGCCTGGCAAGTCACACGCCAAATTCCAGCACGCACATACCACAGGCTTCATTGCAAATGTTGGCATTTTTTTTCAGGTACCGGAGATCTGAGCGTCATACCGGGACTCGCTCCAAACTCCAAACCAGCTCGCGTGCCCCTGTGTCATGTATAGCTTGCGTACGGAAACTCCCTTGGTCCTTCGAGCACGAAGCCCCCAGGCTCTGGATGGGCCACGAGGCCAAGTTGCTGCGCGTGTATTGCGGTGCAAGCCTGACCGATTTCTGGGTATTTTACAGCGAGATCCTCGAAACACCATCTAAATGGTTGTGTTTCAAGGGAAGCGGCTGGGACTCAAGAGCATTTTTCGAGAATCCTCTTAACTCGTATGGCCCCAGCCCAATAGGGAACGCCGCATTCAGGGCTTCCACTGAACCGTGCAGACCATGTTTAGTGGGAATCCCCCCTCCAAAACAGAACATTGGAGGCTACATGTGTACCTGGAGGAAAGAGAGAACCCTCATCTCCATGTTTGGTGAGAACCCCAAACAGCAGGGTTTTGGGTAAACACTCTTTTTTGCAGATTTTGAAGGGACACCGAAAGGACCCCAGACCGATTTTGGGGGCTCCCGGGTTGAGCCGCGCCTGATCTTCCAGGCTCGCCAGATAGGCCTTCTTGGCCTGTCTGATGCTCACGCGATGGCCTGGCGAAACCGAAACCAATTTTCGGCGTACACTATTTGTACTTCTTTCGCCGTAAGAATAAATAGAAAACTAGAAATTTTGCCAAGGCCAGTGTTTTCTCCTGGGGGCTTGGCTGATTTCCTTTAGGATTTCCCGTAGCTGATGAGGAGAGGTTGCGCCGGAATTGGGAGTGTTCCATGCAAGATGTTTTGCACGCTTCTGATTTAGCCCGCATGACTCAGTCGCATACACAAAAGGTAGAATTCCAGATTAGAATTTACTGTTACTTGGTGCGCACAGGATGATAACACAGTTTGCTCAATGAGTCCCCTGAAAGGTACGGTAGAAGAAACCTCTCCGCGGTTCACAGGACCATTCTTCAGATGGAATACAAGATGTTAGTAGGGGAGAACCATGCAGGGTCGTGGGTTCTTCGGGAACGAGTACAAAAGAGGCTGTCCTACTCAAACAAAACACAGGTTGCCTGAATGCGGGGCAACTCAAATGCACCTCTGCATGTGTAGGGTTGATTCGCCTTGCGCTCCCCTATCCACGCACCAAAGTGCACCAAAGTAGCTGCTCAATTCTGCACTTGCCTGGCGAGGAGATTGAACAGCGCACCTTTCCATATCTGCGATGTTCGCAGTCGCAAACAAACAAATGAATCGAGTATGGTTCGGCTGGCAGCATGAATTCAAGGCTCCTTCAAAATGGCGTGTTTCCCGTGTTCCCTGCAAACGAACCCAAAAAAGGACACCCTCGTGTTAGAACACGAGGTCGGGCGTAGAAGGAAGCGGCGACAGAGGGGCCTGTTCGCTTCTGGTACAATCGCGTGAGGAAGTCCTCAGTGCTCAAAGCCATGGAATCCCTGGGGCTTTAGGGCTCCATACAGCTTAGGATTCTGAGAGCTTGGGATTCCCCCGGTGGCTTAGGTTCTTTAAGAGTTAAGATGTCTTATCGTTTCTCAGGTTTCCTTTGAGAGCTCCTTATGCGTCCTCCAGCTTCCTTGACAAGCCTGGGCTAAGAAACAAAAACCAAGCCCATCCTGCATCACTGCACCCTCTCTCTGCATGCGGTGGGGCTAGGGCTCAAAACCTTTCTGCGGTCCCAGCAATCAAAATTAAGATACAAGTGGAAGCAAAAAGCGAAATGCCATACCCCCAGTCTAATTATCTAGGCCCCAATAGTAGGACGATACAAATTTGTCCAACAGCCTACGGCCCGGCCCGTCTTGCCTCTCTCCAGGCTACTTTGTCGGCCAACCTAGCCCTGGAGGGCTCTCGAAGCCTTCGAACATCTAACTTTCCCCGAAGGAGTTTGGCTTGGCAGTTGCACCAGAGTCCCAGGCAACCTGGGACAAATCAGCGCCAGCTTGTGAGTGAGTTTCTCAAACTCTTGGACCCCTTTGATTGGTAATTAGAGGGACAGGAACTGAACAGCAAGACTGTTGACCCCCTGTGTTGAGAAATACGCACACACACAAACCTCCCCACACGGCATTGCTAATTTTCGAGTCCGGTCCTAGGTGTTTGAAAAAAAGGGATGGCACGAATGATTAGAACCAACTTGCGCCATTTATTTCAACCAAACTGAAGGGCATGAGCCCAGGGTTGTTCCTACGCAACAGGGCCCCTGGACTAGGGTGGGCCACCCCCTTCAAACATTCTCAAACCGCTATTGCCTCAAAAAAACGCCTATTGGTGTTCGCTTAAAGGCAACCGGGGCTTGGTTGCAACCAGTTTTTCCTTGCCGGACCCCGATGAATTTCTGGGAGGCCGCGCCCAAACGTCATGCCACACCGTATCGCTGAACTGCGCCTCAGTCCCACTGGGTGACCGTCTGACCGGGCCGGCAATGGGTCTCACTCTGGGAAAATTCTATGGATTTTAGATGCTCGGTGCTCACCATCACAAGATGTGCGCAAGCCATTGGGTCAATTCAAGCATATTCTCAAAATTACCTTCGAAATGGTTGGCACCTGGAAACCGCTGAGAACTAAAAGTCAAAATCAATTTTGAGAACCTTTTCACTTTAATGGACGCAGACATTGCAAACGACGATAGACTCTGATCATGACCACACACCCTGAAAACGTTGGCCATCTTAAGAACTGATTTTGTGCTGTCCCGCGCCGGGTACGGTTGAAGACTGCATGTTGGGAGCCCGACTCGCATGAAACCAGTAACAAAGACACGCCGGCTCGGATCGCTCAATTACAAATTCGGAATCACGTCTGGGCGCTTGCTCAACAGGTGTCTCTGCTATGTTGCCATCCCTGCCACAGCCTCTTGCCACAGACTCCCATCCACAGGGAATGATTCGTATTTAATCGATCTGCAAGGCCTCAAGCAGAGTGTAACCCGTACGAATCTATGTGCTCCGGAACGTCTGAAGACTTCATTGGCCGCTCATTGTGTATCAAACTCGACAATATCTATTTCCCGCAAGAGGTGTTGGTCCATGCAACCCGCTTCAGCGTCTCAACTCCAACGGCTTGCATGTTGATCAGTGGCTTGAGTAAGGAGCTATCCATTTCAGGGGCGTCCTCTGATTGCTCGGGTCCTCGAGATTTCATCCGAAGCTTTTCTTACTTCTGAGGCTTTCCAACCTGGTGCGCACCTACTTTGGTGGCCAACGGAATGACTGAGAAGAGATCTTGCCAACCATCACAATGCAAACATTGAAACAGGAATGCCGGACATTAATGCAGAAATATACACCGTGTTGCCAGCACTAATTGAGCCGTTTTGCTTGGCGGCTAGTCTGCGAACACTCACAAACGCCCAGCAGGCAAAAATAGTCGCAGCTTTGTCTAAACATAGTTTTCGCCAACACAGGAATAAGTTTGCAAATGCATGGCTGGGAGCCCCTTTTTGCGCCTGGCCAACATGAAACCCAACATGTTCTACACAGGGCAACCGCAATGATGCTTGGCACCCTCCAAGCCCCACTGGTTCCATTTACTCCTAAAGTAGATCAAAGGGAAAGTCTAGAAAGTTGTTCGTTCAGTTAAGTTAGCTGGAATCTCTGGGCATGGCTTTCAATGGCTAAGCCCTCCATGTAGCCTAGAAATCCATGTGATAGTTGTCCAAGCCTGCAACACTTTTGAGCAGGTTTGTTTGCCGACACCCACGCTGGGTTAATCAAGAAAATATTTGCACCTGTTGGAGAACCCCGAGGGCGACCCCATTCAAAGGGCGTGGGCAGCGAAACTGGCAGCATTTTCAACAAATGGCGGGTACCGAGATATTGTTTGCTTCTCTTGAGGGGAACCCTCTGTGGGTGCACGTAAGGGGAAACCCAAAAGAAGCCATCCATTTTGAGAAATCCCTATATTGAGACAAACTCATAATATGGGGGCCTGAAATAGTCTGGTCCAGGCGCGTTCCTTTTTGTCTCCGCGTAGACGTCCATGATGATGGCAATCAGCCTCGGTCAACGCATGTCAACGCACAATCCAACACCTCTTTGTAGCTACACACGCATTTCTCCCAGAGCGCCGTCCATCCGCCCGCACCCTGGTAAACACTCCACTTTCAGGAATCCACCACTTGAACCGGATTCCCTTTCAGCTTGCCTCTGGCGAGCGTCAGTCATGGGAACCAATGAATCTGGCTGAGGCGGCAACATGTTGAGCAGAATGAGAAGCATCGTGAGCATAAAGGTGATGTGGAAGATGCCCGCCTGAGAGTTGAAAGGAAGGGCCCTATGCCCTCCCACTTGCCCAAACAAACTAAAGACAAATAACAAACCATCACACTTATTCTACGAGTTCAATCATGTTTTCTAATGAGTACTATTTGTGTTTCCATACTAAATACCACTGTATAACGTATGGCCACGTTGGATCCCCGAGGCTGGCGTCCCATAACGACGCCCACAGTTGATGGTCTACTCAGGGGACTCATCCCAGGGTTATGGACGCACTATCATGAAAGTTCAACGCCTACTAGCTAAAGCATGGGTTCTTACTTGCAGGGGCAAATTCATATACGTAAAAAAGGGACCCCTGGACCCCTAGACATGGTTCCTTTAAACCCCATCCAAAAGTGGGACCCGGAGCCCATCTGGACTCCCCTATATCAGGGAGCCAAGACCCAAGCAACCCAAAACCATTGCTTTCTTTTATTCGAGCATTTGAAGGCTGAGCGAAGGATGTGTGCGCTAGGAACCAAACGGAGCTCTGCGCATCTCAGAGGGGTCTGTCAGCACTTTTTGGCAGGCTTCGACATTGGGCGCTCCTCAAGCTAGGGAAGCCCTTGAAGTGGTGGTTTGCCTTCAGCTTACAATCTTTATGTGCCAAGGTAGCATTCTGCAAAGAAGAGCTTCATTCGGCCTGGCAGGGTTCCAGAGCGTTTTGTTTGCCAATTACTGCTACCAACTTGCACAGTGGCTTTCCGGCTTTCGACTGGGGTAGGCAATTCATTGGATATGCTTCCATAGTCAGGGGAGTCAGTCCCGAATCAAATGTTGGTCGTATGATGCCAAAAGCTACGTCATGGGGGGACAGGGCCATCCAAGACCTGTCAAATCAGTCGTCCGGAACATTTGACCTCTGTACACCACTATCAACAGGATGAGTCCCTTGAGAGCATATCCATACATATAGGAATGATCCTGTTGATGCATAAATAACATATCCACAGAATCAGTTCATAAATAGCAGGATCAGTCCATAAAGAACAGGATCAGTCCAGAAATATAGGTTTGTCTCAAGAGTCCAGGAGCCTCTTGGAGGGGTGGTGCTGCGGAGGTGGTCAAGGAGGCAAACAGAATGGTGTTGAGTTCATGTTGGGACAATACTACGCTATTTCCTCATGATCATAAGATAAGAGTGTTTGTAAATAGTGTATCCTTGTAGTACATTACATCATTCCAAGATGATGGGAGCTTCTCTGCCGAGTGTCGATGACTCGGCCGACTTGGTCTTCCATGCTGTCGAAATCAGAGTCACCCATCAGCGAGCGAAAGAGGGTCACAAATGCGATCTGGAAGTTGCCGTAGCCTGGCAGGGTATCTGCCTGTTGCCGATTGACACTGCCATAATCCAAAATATGTTCGGCGATCTTCGTTGAGGGTTCTCTGCCTGGCAATGGGGTTTACTGGTTTTTAACCATTGACCCCAAGCTTCAAAACTCCTGCTTGTATTCTCCGTGGACCTACCCCAAAATCAGTTTCTATAAAGGGCTTCCACAGCGGCCATTTACCCAGGTGAAAGACAAAAAAGGGACTATGGTGCAAGCTTGCAACTCTGGTGATTTTGTTGCTACTGGAATCAAGCTCCAGCTACAAATGCATGCCCGGTGGCTGAATCAGCAGTATTCCTGGCCTATCGCATACCCTCAACGTAGCTCAACAGTACAGGGCACACCCAAGAAAGATCAAGAATGGCCTTCCAGTTTGTTTTAGGTTCTGTATTTGTTGGAGGGACAAGCAGCTATCATAATTACACACATATATTCTTATAGGCATGACTTTATTTCCAATTTGGCTTCAAATTGTTTGAGCTCCCATTGTAAGACGAAACCGTGGACAATGCTGCTCCTCTCAAAGGTGGGACGCCACCCACCTCATGCATCAAAATGGCAACATGAGTCCATTGTTCCCAGCTTCGGCATTCCTGTGGTGGAAGGTCCGGTGAACCTAACAAGGGCAACAGGAGCCGGCGCCCTGGTAGCGTTGGCAGGAAACTTCTGACGAGGCAAGCTACCCGTACAAAATGCATTTATTAAACGACTTCTACGACACCCACAAAGGGTGCATCGCCCCTAAGAAGCACTAAAGGCGGCGAGCGGTTCTGGTCGTCAGTATCAAAGGCTTATCCGCCGTACTCTAGCTTCCTGTGTTTTGCCTTCCACATAAATCCTCTTTCGGATGTCCATGATTCATTTATCGTGGATGTTTGGAGGAGCGTACTTGCCCTTGATGCCCGAAGAAGCGGTCATTGAATTCCTGCCTCGTGCCCGTGTTGTGGGCCCTGAGGTTCCCCACTTATCAGAAACACACGCACACCAACACCCACGCACGTGCAACACACCAACCGCAAGCCTGGAAGAATCAATGGGTTGTCTGCATTCTCTATCTGCTTTAAAGGAATCCGTCGCTGGGCCCCTCCCACCGAACTTCCTAGGTTTATATAACGGGCACTCCTCCACCAACACAAGCACGTAGTTGGACAACGTACCAAAGGTAGAATACCGAGGCTTTTGATCACTGCGCAGATTGCATACAACCTTGCCTTCTTCGGGCTTGCTGGCGCTAGGTCGTGCTCCACTTACCACGCCTTCTTGCCCGTCCACGGTCGGTCGCAACAGCGAAGCGAGCCTTCCACCGTGCGCCCGAAGAAGCCCATTGCCATGAACACGAAGGTCACAAACACGGAGATGAAGATGATGCCGAAGTGCATCTCAAGTGCCCACACATCTCCCAGTTGAGAAAGCTGATGCATGCGCGCCGTTATATAAATAGGATCACATGCCCGTGTCGTGGTTTGATTCAAACGACCCCTGAGAGAATCCGGGGATGCTTCCCCTGTTACGGGTGAAATTATCCATCTATAGGGGTGCCCCTCTAATTAGTGGAGTGCTTACTGCAGTGTTCTGAATAAAGCCCAGCAAAAAAAAAGGCACGTGTCCGAGTTGGACTCTCAATGGCTCACCCCAACGACAAAACGGAATGTTGTAGATTACGACATGCTCCATATATGGCTGCAGGCTAGTCCAATATTTGTCAATACAAAACCGATGCTAGTTGGGCAAGGTCGTTTTTGCCCCAAGGGCCTAGCAAACCCCAAAGGGATGCTTTCCCTGTAAATGCCAACTAACAACGATTTCCCATGGTTTCCAAGTGGTGCAGGATTTCGTCCATCCACAGTATCAACAGGAAAGGGAAGCGGCTTTCTGATTCTTACATCTGTCTACAAATAACGCAGCTCATGGGTCTGAAGCCAACACACCCGCACAAAAACTAGGCACTGACATGATGCCTCTGGAGGTGCTCCCTACATCACCTGCATATGTTATCACTCCCCTCACCAGCAACCGCCCAACAGTCGCCAATTTGCCGGAAGAGCCAAACCAAGAGCCTGAATGAGCTTGACAAAACATACATGTGTGCGCTTGCTGTGCGTGTGTCTGTGTGTGTGTGTGTGCGGGTGTGCCGAACTGT